AAAAAAAAAAACCCAAAAAACCAAAAAACTGTATGTATAACTCAATAAAATCAGAAAAATGAGTTAAGTACTTAGAGTGTATGACTTCTTTCCAGCCCTTAATTTGTTTAATGTATGTGAGCCTACACTCAATTTAATTTCAACACTTTAAGTCATGTAAGAAAAATGTAACATTAGTGTCACCAAAACATACTGTACTCTGCAGTATGTAATCTCATTATCTGAAAATTGATCAAAGTCAGTGAGACATAGCTCAGAGGTTACCCAGGATTGCACGATTCTTGCTTGATATAGTGTACTTCACATGGACCAGAATTTGGGGGAGAAAAAGAACCCATGTCAAAGAAACATCAACTACTACATACTAGTCTAAAAGTTTCTTTCTGCTATACTTATCAATAACTATCAATTCAAGTTGATTTCAAGAGCTATGACAATCATTGGAATGCAAAACTACTGAAGACATGAGGTTTTTACAATCTGATTGACGAAATAAAACACATGCAACAAACAGCCAGGAAATAACCTAAAATCAGAAATATGAGATAGCGCATAGTGCTGAAAGCTGAATACACATCCAAAAATTACCCAAAGACTCCACAAAAAATAACAACAAAAAAATCAAGTAGGATGTTCATTTCTCCACAGAGAATAGCAGGTTCTTCCCACATACTTAGAAACACCTATGATTCCACTCTGGTCAGTAAAGATGAACCAGAACGTTTGGCCTTGACCTAGCTGTCTCTATCTACTGAATATAGTAACCACCCTTCTGGGTAAGAACTTACCTTAAACCATTTATTTTAACCTGTCTCTTCTAGGCCACACTTGATTGCAATAGGAATTTGTTTAAGAAGACTTCTTGCTCCCTCTGGTGGTTGTCAGGATTCAAAGCTACTTTTTAGGGTTTTAAGAATGTTAATAGTGGTATTGTTAATACTTACAGAAAGTTTTTCCACATCTCCCTTTAAAACTCGTTCTAAGTAGAGCTGTTTAAGTTCTCGTTCCAACCTCGATGGCAGGCCAGGGTACATAGTAGACCCTCCAGAAAGCACAATGTGTTTATAGAATTCAGATCTAGAAAGGCATAATGGTTATTTATTTGGGGTTTCAGATTAGAGAAATGGTATCTCAGGTTTACTGCTATTTATTAGCTTCAGGTGGTAGCTGGGAGAATAAAACAAAATTCCACGTGTAAATTACAGGGCTGAATGTCTGCTAGTACTACTATTGCAAGAACACAACCCATTTTTACATATAAAATATTTTTATAATTTACACACACACACAAATATATATATATTTTTGCAGTTTTTGGCCAGGGCTGGGTTTGAACCTGCCACCTTTGGCATATGGGGCCGGCACCCTACTCCTTTGAGCCATAGTTGCCTCCCCAACACAAAAATATTTCTAAAAGCGCATGATATAATTTATTGCAAATATAATTGAGTCTTCTAATAATGACCAAGATTTCCATACAAACTTCTAGTATTTAGACTGTTATCACAGTGCTTGCTCCCCCCTATAGCCACTGAGATGTGGTTGTTTACTATCATTAGCTATATTCTTTGAGACAGAGTCTCACTTTGTCACCTGGGTAGAGTACCATGGCATCATCATAGCTCACAACAACCTCAAACTCCTAGACTCAAGCCGATCTTCTTGCCTCAGCCTCCCAAGTAGCTGGGACAACAGGTGCACCTGTGACTACAGGCGCCGGTCACAACACCCAGCTAGTTTTTTGATTTTTAATAGAAAAAGGGTCTCATTCTTGCTCAGGCTGGTCTCTAACTCCTGAGTTCCAGCAATCCACCCACCTCAGCCTCCCCAAGTGCTAGGATTATAATAGTGAACCAGTGTACCTGGCCTCTATCATTAACTATGTTCCACCTTGATTCAAGTTCTTGCTTTTTAATTTTTCCATTTGTCTCTTGCAGTTTTTCCTTTGAGTTCTTTAGCCTTTGAGGCTGTCTGCTGTTATTTTTGGCTAGATGGATGTGTTTACTTCTTACAGTAATCCCTTCTTTCTTCTTTAAATATGCTGTTGGCTGTGATACTCAAATTGAAAATAACTGCCTATGTAGTAAAAGTAATAGAATCTGAGTGAGGGTCTGAGAAATGCTTTTTTTTTTTTTTTTTGAGGCAGAGCTTCAAGCTGTCACCCTGGGTAGAGTGTAGTGGCATCACAGCTCACAGCAACCTCCAACTCCTGGGTTTAAGCGATTCTCTTGCCTCAGCCTCCCAAGTGGCTGGGACTACAGGCGCCCCCCACAACGCTCAGCTATTTTTTGGTTGTAGTTGTCATTGTTGTTTGGCAAGCCCTGGCTGAATTTGAACCAACCAGCTCTGGTGTATGTGGCTGGTGCCTTAGCTGCTTGAGCTACAGGTGCTGAGCCATGAGGAATGCTCTTCACATAACATTTGGGAGCTGAGTCACATCCACTTTGGCCTCATTCAAACTGGCTTTCAGGTTCGTTCTTATTTCTAGACTCCCAATGGCTAAGGCTACTGCCATTCTACCTTCTGGAAAAGCACTGTTTTGTATTTAATTGCCCAAGCATGCACTTGTGAATGTAGCAAAATCAAGCAGCTGAAGTAAAGCTACATGAGAGCTGGACACACAGGCATTCACATGCATGTCTTCAATATGCAGAAGATGTGAAATTGGAGCTGCGTCACTATCAATGCAAACTCTGTGGTCAAAACACTAACTGAAACTCCTGTGCTTTAGGAATGTCAAAACTCCAATCATCATCAACAGGCAGGCATGCACTTTAAAATGCAATTTTGCTATCAATAATGATCATTAAATCAAGGGACAAAAACATCTACCTAATCCCTACCATTAGAATTTACCATCACTAGAGGCTGGGCGTGGTGGATCACTACAGTAATCCTAGCACTCTAGGAGGCAGAGGCCAGTGGATTCCTTGAGCTCAGGAGTTTGAGACCAGCTTGAGCAAAAGCGAGACCTCATCTATGCTTAAAAAAAACCAAACAAACAACCTGAGGCAAAAGGATCACTTTGGGCCCAAAAGTTAGAGGTTGCTGTGAGCTATGACACCACAGCA